TTATAATTGGTCCTCTTTATACTCTGTACATGAAATGTACAAGAGCCCTGTCTGTCACAGGCACACGAGACATACACAGACACACACATGCACGCATAATTATTCTACACATATGTAGAGAGTATTTCACTGTCGAGATACCCGGGTATCCCGACTTTATCTTATCTACTTGTTATATAATGCGGTTGATATTAATATAGCCGTCAAGTTTTTTTATGACACTATTAATTCTTTTTTTGATGTATGTATCCCCAATAGTGTCATAACGTCTGCTTCATCAAAACCTCCGTGGTTTTCACCAAGGCTGTCAAAATTAAGTATAAGCAGTCGGGCCCAACTTTACATTTTTCTAAATACTCCACAGCCAAATAAAATTTTTTTGTTCTTAATTTTCAATGTTATAACTATTTATATATATATACTTATATATATTACTTTGCCCGATGCATGTTACAATTCGCTCAGGCCCTGATCGAGCTCAACTCTTAAATACCCTGTACCACCCCACAAGAAAAAAAACAAACAAAAATTAATTAAAACAATTTAATTAATTTAATAAAATAAAAATAATTCATCACATGCATACACACATAAGTGTTTATGTACAATTTCAACAGCATACATTTACATCAGTGCTTGTATGCAGTAATGAAATAAATCAAAGCAGTAACAACAGTTGCAGGCAGAGCTTCGGCAGAGATTATATTTATGGCTATAACTTTCTTCGTAATTGACCTATCATGATGAAACTTGGCATACGGACACTTATGTGTCCGTTAGTGCTTATGCACTAACTGGATGTAACTACCAAGAATTATGGAAGTTATAAAAAACACCAATACCCGGGGGTGGGGGTGGTGTATCAGAATAAAATAAGTAAAAAAGCTAAAGTCGGGTGCCGACTTTGAAATACTCTGTACATATGTTTAGAATTCTACCTTTTCGGAAAAATGCATTTGCCCATGAAAGGAAAGCGTTATGCAGACGTAGAGGCCATTCAAAAGGCACCGGCATACTGGCGGCCATACCGGCCAACGAGCTAAAACACTCGTTCGACATGCTTTTGGGTCGTACAAAAAGCTGTATTGAAGCAGAAGGAGACTATTTTGAATAAAATAAATTGATTTTGCCGAAAAAACCATTTGTTCTGTTTGTTTTTTTTTAAAAGCCCTGTTTACTTTGGAACACACCTTGTAGTGTCAGATATAACCAATAAAAACGAGCAGTTGGAGCTGCTCAGGAAAACGTCAAACAGGTCCTTCGTGACTATTTTTTTCCCCAAAAATGAGCAAATTGGCCAGCGAAAATGTCACAAACTATAGAGTTTGCCCTCAGGTGAAATACGACAGACATCCAAAAAAGCAAGAGCTGGTGAAAACCCCAATTCAAACATATGCAGGCGAAATGCTGCATATCGACATGTTTTCAACAGATAATAAACTGTTTTTGACCGGCCTTGACAAATTTTCGAAATTCGCCATCGTGCAGCCGATAGCGTCAATGGCAATAGTGGATTTAGGGTACCCATAATTCAGTTGGTGAATTTTTTCCCAAATATCAGAACGATACATTGTGACAACGAGGCTGCGTTCAATTCGGAGACAATCACGTCTTTGCTTAAAAATAGCTACGGCATAGATGTCGTGAACGCGCCTCTCCTACACAGCTCCTCAAATGGTCGGGTGAAGCGTTTCCACAGCACAGACAGAGATTGCGCGATGCCTTCGAATTGGCAAGAAAATCAACGAAACGGTAGAGTTGATCTTGAGGGCAGCAGTGGAGTCCAACAAAACACTCAGTCACTGATAAAACTCCCATTGAAGTCATACATGCGGCGTCGGTCCGCAGGGCCATACAAGAAAGAATAGCAAGAGCTCAACAGGTTAACATGGACTGATGCAAGTTGGCAAGACAAAATAGAGTCTTTGATGTGAAAGAGTGTTTCTGAAAAATAATAAAATTGTGCTCTGAGGAAAAAATACAGGTCGGTTCTCATTAAGGGGAGGGTGGTCCATAAGGACAACCTCAGATAATCTTTCCTCAGTTCGGAGACATTCAAAAGTTTAGGTATAAAATAGGTTAATCACAAAACATTCACTGGGTTAACGATAGAACTAGGAAGAACAAGAGCCTCACAGCACATTTTCTCTCTTGCAGGTTTGTGGGCGCGATCCTCTCCATCATAACAATAGGGAACGCTCGGATTACCGACTATTCACATTCCAGCTACATACCCTTAGTAGACAGGAATGCTCTGGTGTGGGAGCAGCGGGACTACTTGGGGCACTCCAGTAATTTGACGGACTTTGAGAACATCGCCGATGATACAAGAAAGTTTCCAGAGTAATTTTCGCAATCGCACATGTGAAAGTTATTTGACGTCGATACAGATCACATTAGAAGCCTTTTGTCCGTATTAAAAATACACCACAGAATTTCCAGAAGTTTAGATTTTCTGGGCACAGCCCTTAAGGTTATAGCAGGTACCACGGATGCCTCTGATTTGGAGAAAATAAGCATGTCCGAGTCACAACTGATCGAATCAAACAATAGTGATAAACTCAGAGACGCAGAAACGAATAAATCAGCTCACAGACACCATTAATCAGATAATTAAAGCAAAAATGAATAATTTGGTTGACACTCCATATTTTTACGAAGCACTGCTGGCGAGAAATAGAATGTTAATAACGGAAATTCAAAATTTTATGCTCACAATCACACTCGCCAAGTCTAACATAGTAGATCCCACTGTTTTTGATCACAATGATTTGAAATCTCTGGTTGAGCATGCCATAGACGTACCCATAGTTAGCTTAATGGAGGCATCCAACATAAAGGTCTTTCCGTCCGAAAATATTGTTCACATATTGATTGCGTACCCCAGGGTTAAGTCTGTTTGCAAAAAGGTCACCATATTCCCCGTGTCCCATCATCACACTGTGCGGCAGCTACAAGATGACACCGTGGCTGAGTGCGCTGGGGATACCTTGACAGTCACGGAGTGCACCGCAACAACTTATACTACCATCACACTTGCACGCTGGAGGTACAGCTCTCTGCCATTCGCAGTCATCTGAAGCAAATCGTGCTCGTGGATGACGGCGCCATAATCGTCACGGCCCGGATTATTACAGACGACGGCCCTGAGATATCAACAAAGGACACAGACCTCGTCACCTTTGAGCGCTCGGCTGTCATCAATGGCATCAAATATTTGAATCAATTGTAAAATCAACAAGCCCTAAGCAAAACGCCGGGCATAGCGGCATCACCACTGTTAAGCATCATCAGCCACGATCCGGTTTTGAGCATGCCGCTCCTCTATAGGATGAGTAACCAAAACTTGCATACCATCCGCGAGTTCAGGGATGCGATTGCGTCAGCCGGGCCACTTAAGGTCTGGTTTGCGGCTGTAGTGGCACTTAGCCTCATCTGCAGCGGCTCTCTGCTCCTTTACCTAGTGCTGAGGCGAAGGCGAGATTCGCGGGAGATGCAGAGAGCCATTGATAAGTTCAACATGACTGAGGACGGTCGTGGTCTTGAGGGGGGAGTAGTTAACAAATAACCCTCGCACCTAATTATTAAGCGGCCCTTGCACGCGCTGACACATAAAATTCTTGAGTTCAGCGCCCTAGCTTCAACAGTCAGCGGCGGTAACCTGATGCTCTTGCTGTGTCGCAAGAGTATTGGTTATCGCCTGCAACTATGCTGAGTCGGCTCGCCGACTATGGCGTTTGCAGCGTTTTATTTAGAATTAAGCTTTTCAATTATTGTCTTCAGCTTAAGCTGCACCAAATTTGTATTCTTGTATTCAGTTCTGTATTAGCGTTAAGTAGATAACACCTATTTACCTTAAAAATACATTGCACCGGCATCGCCGTAAACTACAAGTATACCGTTTGTTTTATTGCTGCGCCACAAGGCCAGACATTGGAAAGCTTTGGCTATCCCAACGTATTATTTAAACGTGAACCGGCATCGTACCGCTTCCGGTATCTTCGGCATCCACTACATCTGCAAGCGCTTCATCAAGAAGACGTTGGTCATCGGGATGGCGTTTTGCATAACTTATATGTATATGTTTGTATATATACAGTGGACCATCGAACACTGTTGTTAAATTGTAATAAATAGTGTTCTACGGTTTTAAATCATAAATTAAATTTTTAAAACGAAAAGTAAGAACGGCAACTGTACGTCTACGCCTTTTAATTGCAAACGCAAAATGCCAAAAGAGTACAGTTACCGTCGCTAGGCAACGATATTCTGTTTATTGCATTCAAACTTCGATGTATCGATATCGATAGTATCGGTGGATTCAACTATCGAAAGTTTTACTCTAACAAATTGAGATGGGCATTGTTAGTGATTCTTGATCGTAGCTCATCGCTGATCCGATGATTCCGAGATGACTCAATAACGCACGAAAAGACACAAATGTGATTTAAAATTACGATATACTCTTAAAATTATTCCCCTTTTTTGCACATAGTCTATCTTACAACGTTGCGTTATCTCTATATACATTAAACAGTTTGTCCTGACTGATTGGTGATCAACGCACAGCCAAAACGGTAAAAACTAGGAAGCTCATATTTGGACTCAAGTATCCTTTCATAGTATCCATCATAGTTTAGGTGCGCACTAAGAAAGGCATTTGGAAAATTCGAGCTCCAAATATTTTGGCAAGAACAAAAAATGTTCATTTAAATACCTTTAATGCCTTCCTACTGGTAACTCATTGTAATAAGGTGAAAAGATATGGACACACAAAATAAATACAATTTGCAACATAATAATGAGCCGGATTAAGACGGGCAATACCTGCTAGTTAAACAATAAAACAAAGTTCGGTTAACTTTTTTTGTTGGTCGTGAATGGGGTTATTTTGTCTTATGTTTTTCCAGAGTTTTCTTTAGGTAATTCCTATCCTTTTTGGATCAAATATTCATTTATTATTATTACTTCAACCGGCTCAAAAGTTAAAAAAAAGCAAACACACTTTACGGTATATAATTAAACGCACAATATTTTGTATACATTTGAATGAAAACAATAAAATATATTATATTTTTATTTAAGAGTGGATTTATAAGAGAATATTACCAACTCGTTTCCTCGATTTAGTTAACGTACCAAATCTTCTGGATTGAACATGCCCTAAAATCATAATATAAATTAATTTGTATCGATTATTTTCGTTAGGTTAGTACTTACACGAGCACGTCTCAAAATAGAGTCCTTACTGGCATCGTAAGGATGGTCTTTAGAAGGTATTTCTAGCACAGCTGGTACCGGCGAGGTATGGGCATCAATTACATGTCGAATAAGCTCGGCATAATTTTGATTTATAAGAATTATATCGATGTCGTCCCGTTTAAGGAATCTTTTAAAGCAATCTTCAATTTCACTCACGGCCGTATCTAAAAATGTTTATACAATTTCCATATTTACTATTCAGGTACATTCACAAAATTTGGTGAAAATACATTTTCATAGCATACAATTGTTAAAATAACTCTTTGGATTTAAAAGCAAAAAACTTATCGAATCGAGATATTTAAAAAAACAACCACTAGATTTGGATTCGCTATCTTTCCTTTGCATGCATATTTTATGACAGTCAAACGTATGGCTAAACAAGAGAGAACGCTACAGTCGAGCAAGCTCGACAGTGTAATACCCTGTACCCAGGTAAACTTCCGTCACTGAGTTATATGCGCCCATAGCAGCAGCAAAAAGAGGAAGAAGAAGAGCGAACTTGTTGCTGCAGTTTGTGGGGGTTGTACTGGCGAGAATTTGTTTCGCTAATAACTTTTCTTAGAATTGACCGAATTAAATAAAATTGTATACAACAGTAGACAATTATATATAAATTATGTGTGCAAAGTTTGGTTTAGGTAGCATTTGAAATGTGGACGCTATTGACGAAATTCTGTAGCGGGGGAAGGGGGGGAAAATTAAAAAAAATAAAATAAACTCGTCCTTACTCGGACCTAGGAGAATCTGGATGCCAACTTTGGTTATTCTAGCTTTTATAGTTTCTGAGATCCTTGCGTTCATCCAGACGGACGGACATGTCTAGATCGATTTCTCTCGTCATGCTGATTCAGAATATATATACTTTATGGGGTCGGAGATGCTTCTTCTGTATGTTACATACTTTGTACGAACCTAATATACCCTTTTTACCCTACGGGTACAGGGTATAACAAGAGAGAACGCTACAAGCCCGACAGTGTAATACCCTGTACCCAGGTAAACTTCCGTCACTGAGTTATATGCGCCCAAAGCAGCAGCAAAAAGAGGAAGAAGAAGAGCGAACTTGTTGCTGCAGTTTGTGGGGGTTGTACTGGCGAGAATTTGTTTCGCTAACAACTTTTCTTAGAATTGACCAAATTGAATAAAATTTTAAACTACAGTAGATAATTATTTATAAATTATGTGTGCAAAGTTTGGTTTAGGTAGCAATTGAAATGTTGACGCTATTGACGAAATTCTGTAGCGGGGGAAGGGGGGGAAAATTAAAAAAAAATAAACTCGTCCTTTCTCGGACCTAGGAGAATCTGGATACCAACTTTGGTTATTCCAGCTTTTATAGTTTCTGAGATCCTTGCGTTCATGCTGATTCAGAATATATATACTTTATGGGGTCGGAGATGCTTCCTTCTGCATGTTACATACTTTGCACAAACCTAATATACCCTGTACCCTACGGGTACAGGGTATAATAAACCTATTAACAAAATGTGCAATTTTTTTAACACCAAGGATGAAGAATACTTGTAATAGACGCCATGCTATCTTCACATGTACGTATATACAATAGTTTGACTTAGTGAGTGATTAGTAAATTACCCCCAGTCCAAACGGTAGGACAAAAATTGTAATTAACACAAGAGTCAGTGTTTGAAAAAAAAATCGAACTTGCACACCTTACAAGGGATCTTTGTGCAAAATTTGGTGGTTCTTTTAGTCTTTGAGATCGAGGTGTTCATACAGACAGACAGATCGATTACGGAAAAACGCCCATAGGGGGAAAATAAAAAAAATTAAATAAACTCGTATAGCGTACACACATAAGGTATCTTTGTGCAAAATTTCATTTTACTTTAATTAATTCAAGCGCCAATTGTAGCTAGACGGTGTAATATATTAGACAATTTTCAATGCAATTTCACGCATAGTTGATTTCCGTCCCCGGTGGACGATTTAAAATTTTGCTGTATAACTGATTTTAACCGACTTAAAAAATCTAGTTCCATAGGTAAAAAATGCTACCCAAAGGAACACAAGTACTCACTTTTATCTACTACCATAAAGTTAGGATGGCGATTCTTATTTATTTCACCAACTCCGCCTAGAAGGAATCCAACACATGTGTCCTAGAAATTGATAACAGAAGTAATTTGGCATTCGTAAAACAATGTATGCATATACTACCAACTTCATTAATTTACCTCATCACCTATAACAGAAATTAATTTTCCTCTGATAGCGGAATGTAATGCCATGGCGAATAGTATCGATCAAATTATACAAAGTATTGAATACTGAAATATTTTTCTGTTAGTCAGCTGACTGGTGTCACGAGTTGCAAGATACATACATAGAGATGTAACTTTAACGATAAATGATGATTTTTATTAATATCTAAATATTTTCGATCATTTTATGTTTGCTGTAACCATGTTATGGGCATAACGAAAATATCGAGCATCGACGATGTTTTTAACACGATGCATCGATGTTTAACGATGTTTTTTGTTTGCAATTTTTTCATGTTTTGTGTGGCGGTCACTTTTCTTTGTGCGGTTTGCCGGAGAAGGTATTTTCGTATTTTAAACTTGCTTAATGTTTTTTATTGAAATTTGTATTTTATATATTAGATGGTTAAGTAGTTGATCTTCATTTTGATTGGTATATAATACCAAAATAAGTTTTTCTGCAAATTGCAGTGTTTAAAAATGAATCATATGGCCACACTTATTATTGAAATACGTAACTGCACAGCGTTGAATTGATCTGTTATGAAAATACTAATTCGTTAAAAGTCAAGGTTACGATTACTTTATAAATTAAAAACATTAAGTAAAATATTGGATTTAAAAATTCCCTGTTTATTTTCTCCCCAATTTCCCATGAAAAGTTAATTTTTGAAAACAATGCATCGATTTTTTTTACAGAGACATCGATGAATATCGACATCGATGTTTTTTCTTCGACTTTATCCCTACAATTTTACAAATTTGCAAACACAGAAGATAGTCGAACGTATTTTTGTTCTAATTTTGAATATACAGGGATGCCCCCGAAAATTCTAGAGATTTTGGCTACAATTGTTATTGAAGTCTCCAAAATCCGTGGGTGCAGAACTTCGAAAGAGTTCATTTTTGCCCTTCAATGCCTGCTTTCAGCAACGTGTGGCAGTAGTCTAACAGACTCAATTGGGTTTCCAGCGCACGAAACTAAACCTGGCAGTTCCGTATTTTCATATTTATTATAGCCTGTACCCAAAGGGTAAAAGGCTATACTAGTTTTGTGCGGATGTATGTAACACACAGAAGGAGGCGTGGACCCCACAAAGTATATTAATATTGAGCAGGATGACAAGACAAGCCGATATAGCCATGTCCCTCCGTCCGTCTGTCTGTATGAGCGCAAGGATTTCAGGAAGTGCAAGAGCTAGAATAACCAAACTTGGTATCGAGGTTCCCCTAAGTCCTAGGCAGGTCAAGTTTATTTTTTTTATTCTGATACACCCCCCACTCCCCCGCAATTCATGTTTTTTCTTATAACTTCCGTAATTCTCTTTTGAAATCAATTTTAGTAGTTACATCCAGTTAATACTTATGTGTCCGTGTGCCAAGTTTCATCATGATAGGTCAATTCTGAAGAAAGTTATAGCCATAAATAAAATCGCTGCCCATGCTGTTGCTGCTTTGGTTCAACTTTGTGCTACATATGTACATACACGCATATAAACACGCATAGACACGATGATGTAAATGTATGCTGTTAAAACTGTATATAAACATGTCTTCTATGTATGTATTAAATAAATGTTCTTTATTAATTTAAATAATTCAATTTTTTTAAATAATTTAATTTTTTTTTTTAATTTTCTTTTTTTGTTGAGAGTACAGGCTATTTTACTGTCGGGCTTCCTCGGCTGTAGCGTTCTCTCTTGTTTTTCTTTTCTTGATTGCAATGCAAAGTTCTTAAAGTAAACTTAAAAACTAGTAGTATACTTGTATTTAGCTTCGGCTGCTGATGCATTTAGCTACTAACGAGTAAATGAATTACAAATTATGAGTATGAGTAGTGATAAAATGAGATATGTATGTACAAGAATGTATGTATGATGTGCTAATATTAAGGCTTATATAAATCCAGTATGAATAATTATATGTAACAAGAGTTGGTGTTAAACAGAGAGCTTATTAAATCATTGTTTATCATATTTTATGGAATATACCTGTCTTAGGAAACTTAAAATCATATTTAAATTGGTATCATTATGGCTTTCAAGTTAAGATATGGGGTTTTCCCCATTAAAAGTAAAGTTTCTAGATTGGGTGTGTCGGGCAAGAAGTGAGTGTTTAATATTTGAGGTGAGGGGTTCATGACAAAGTTGGCAAGAATTGGGAATGTTATGGTTCAAGTAGTGTTCGTGTGTAAGTTTTGTTTTTTATTTTAGTTTTTTGTGCAAACTAATGGTAGTGAGTGGGCTAGCTTAGCTGCCGCATCAGCAGTCTCGTTGCCCTTTATGTGTGAATGTCCTGGTACCCATAGAAGTTTTATTTTATTCTTATGTTTGGCAAGCAGAGTTCTAATAAGTCGGGGGTAATGATCGACATTGTTTGTGTTAATAATGGCATCTAGTGCTGAAATAGAGTCTGTGAAAATAAAGTATTTACCTGGTGATTTTTCAATAAGTTTTATTGCTTCATTTAAAGCTATAATCTCTGCCGAGAAGACTGAGGAATAATTGGAAAGCATACCGTACCTAAGTGTTGATGTTTCCGTTGTTATAGCAAAAGTGATGGATGAGTTAATTGCAGAACCGTCGCTGTAAATAAATTTATGGGAGTGTCTGCTGAGTTCAAAAGAACTTTATATAATTTGGATTTTAAAAATATATGTCTTATATCAAGTGGTGCTATGTTTGCTTCTAATCTAAGATCATGCTCCTAGGGTGGTTATTAGTGCTGCATTAATTAGTTAATTAGCATTAGTTTGTACTTTATTAAGAGTGGACTTTGGGGCGCGACCGTAAATGAAGAGGCCAAAATCAGTATTGAAAATAATGAGTGCTTTCATAATTGAGATGAGGGCCGTAGTATCGCATTGTAATTTAGGGCTGGCCAAGCATTTGATAATCAGTTTTTTTGAAAGTGAGATAATTAGTTCTTTGATGCACTCATTCCATTTATAGTTCTTGCTGAACGTAATTCCAAGAATTTTTAATGTATTTACTGTTGGAATAATAATGTTGTTTGATGAGATTTGACTTTTTATGTGGTTACATTTATCGAGTGATAGTTTAGTTCCACAGTATTCACCCCAGTCTAGAATATTTTGGAATAAATTGTCTAATCTTTTCGTGGTATTTTTCTTTTTATTGAAACTTATAATTAATTGAAAATCGTCCGCGTAGCTGCAGTGGTTATGTCTTTTTGAACATCAATGATTTTGCAAAGCTTGTTGTATGCTTGTTGTATGTATGTTCTGCATAGAGCAGACAATCAGCTACAGATTTGTGTTTTTTAAAGCCAAATTGGTTTTGCGATAAAAAGTTGTTGTGCTGAACGAACCACTACAGGCGTTTTGCAATAATTTTGTCCAACACTTTAGAGAGGCATTGATTGAGGGGCGGTATGAATCGGGTTTTGTTTTGTCGGATTTGGGTTTGTTAAGTGGGAAGACTAAGCTGGTTTTGTTTTCTTGTGGTATTTTGGAATGAAAAATATTATTATAGTGTTTGGTAATTCTATTTTTGAGAATAGGGATGGTGTGTTTAATCATAGGGTATGAAATCCTGTCATATCCTGGTGTGTGAACTTTAAATGAACAAAGCGAGCTTAATAATTCGATGGGAGAAATAGGTAATTCCATTTGGTTTGCTGATTGACTTGGGGTGTGATGTGGAAGGAAATTGCTAATATTGGTTTTCCGTAAATTGAATCTGAGAAGTTACTGTCTTTGGCAGAGTCGGCCCAAAATTGGGCAATTTGGTTGCGGTCGGTGGTATTTTGGTTGGAGAATGGATCTGTGATTGCATGTATGGATTTAATAGGATTGAGACCACGAAGAACACGAATATTTGTCCAAATTTTAGATGTAGGTGTATTGGAATTTATTTGTGCAGTAAGCTCGGCAGTTGATAATCTTTTGGCGGTCTTGAGTACATGTCTGAACTGAGCATTCTTTTTCTTAAAGCTTTTTATGTTGTCTAATGAAATGTGTTTTGTTTTAGTTTATTCCGTGCTTTATTTTTATCCTTTTTATGGGCTTTTAGCTTACTATTCCACCACGGAACGTTCAGGGGTTGCTGCAATGTTTTTGGTATGGCTCTGTGGGCACATTGTAAAATAATTTTGTTAATGTTTGCAGCCTCTTTATTAACTTCCGAAGCTATTGGTATTTTGACATTGACTATTGGAACCAAGTTTTCCAAAATACCCTGATTTGCTTTTTTTTACTAGGAAGTGATTTCTTTGGGGTGTTTGTGTTTGGAATTTTTGGTAAAGGGTTATTAATATGGGGAAGTGATCGCTACCATGAAGGTCATCAGTGCATTTCCAAGTCATTTATGGTAGTATGTTTGGCGTGCAAAAGAAAAGATCAATGTGTGTGAAGGTATTGTGTGTTGTGAAATGAGAGGGAGATTTATCATTTAGGATAATAAGGTTATTTTGCGTAATGTATTTGTGTATTATTTGCCCTCTTTTGTTGTGGGAAGGAGATCTCCAAGTTGGGTGCCAACTATTAAAGTCACCTGTGACAATTGTAGAATTTTGTAGTTGAATCATGTTGTCTAAGTTCTTTACATTTGTTACGACTACGCTTTTCCTCTTGGGCAACGCCGGCTGGCTCATCGGAATTCTCCTTGGGTGTGTGGTTCCAACCCTATGCCCGCGTGAGTCGTACAATAACCGATAACACGGTTCCTCCATCGATAAACAAAATGCCATCACTACAATAAATTCGACGCGCAATATACAAAACCGAATTCAAAACGTAAACAAACCAAAAAAAACTAACATAAACTAAAAGAAACGTAATGCAACAAAAATACAAATAAACGGATAACTCCCTCAAGCTATCCGTACGAATACAGATGACTGTAAATGGAGATTATATACGTGCGGACGGACAGGAATTGGTGGTATCGGACAACTGTATGGGATGCAGTTGTTGATATCCCAGGCGTACCCACCCTGCCTGTATCCAAAGGCAAAATGTTTCTTGGATACCCTAAATTGGGCCGTGCTTGGGCTATTCCATGGCAAAGGTGAGTCTCCCGCCCCTACTGATGCTGCTTTAATGCATCATCATCAAAGGTGCGACCATTAAAATTAACAATTAATTTTCA